TTTTTTTTTCTAGAAGCCTGCTCGTCTGCAAAAAACTTTTCACGGACGAGAACTATCCATCCGGGTATTTCCTCGGATGGGCACTATGGGCAGTAGTTCATTTACTATCGACTATTTCAGACGATAGTTCTGAGACATAGACACTCTGTTGTCTTTATTGTTCACCACTAAATTTTGTTCTGCGCACCAGTTCCCCTACCCCGGTAATACAGCCTCCTCGTTATAAATACGGCCAACTTCTTCACGGCTCGTTGGTTACCGTATTAACCAGGAATCAGTTTTCTGGGTAAATACACACTTTTTATTTGTTTAAAATTGATTACTTACTATAAAAAGCCTGCAATGCGGCATCTATATATAAAAAAATTATCTAAACAAGTAATAGAAAAATACTTGGTAACAAAATCAGCAAAGGAAACCTACTGTCTCCATCATAATATACTCAAATCCTTCTGCTAAGGATTTCAAAGTTTTGCTGGATTGCTGACAAATGTTCCACTGCTAGCCTCAATATTTTTCGTCTTGTAACAGAAAGCTATGACTATAACATGCACTAAATCACCCTAAAAATGGGTTCCAACTTCACTCCAAGCTGTCTTGAGTCCAAATTGCGAAAGGGAATGCCACCGCGATGTCAGACACATGCAACTATGTATGTCACGAATTACGAGTGAATAAAAGTGCCACTGAAACGAAATTTTCGTATCTGAAATTTTTCGCTTGATAATGAAGTTTTAACCTTGCTTTCAAATGGTGTTCACTTTTGTTCGCGAAAGGTATGCGAAAAACTCCTTTTTAACTGTTCGAAGTCACGTTTTGAGCCAAAATTCGGCCGTCATCTTGCGCGGCCAAAACAGTCTCGAGTGGTGGTTGGTCGTATTACTTTCATGGCACGCTGAGAATTAAGATTGAACACGAGGGAAGAGATTAGTGGTTTATGCCCATAAATCTCATTATTTTGACATCTCAGAGTTCTAACGTGTAGTGAAGCCTGGCTCATAGCTGCCGGATCTTATCCCGGTTTCTGTAGCATGAAGCGGCTTAGAGTATTTCCACTCCCCCTGGACGGGATGCTAGACAGTCCATCGCAGGTCACTCCCCGCAATTTGTTAGCTTTCCCCAACAATTCGCCGGTACCCATTTATACTCCTGGGTGGGGAGAGGCACTGTGAGAGTTAAGTGTCTTGCCCAAGAACACAACACAATGTCCATGGTCAGGGCTCGAACCCGGACCGCTCAATCCGGACGAGCGCACTAACTATGAGGCCACCGCGCCTCCACTGAGAGCTGTAAGATGGTCAATGAAAGTTAGCCTTACACATGAATTACAAAGCGACCCTACTCTGTGGCCTGCTATATTTCATTGAATATTTCCACGGCATTTCTATTTAGGGCTTCGACTGCGATGTACACAGTTTAGTCAGTTCTCCAATGCTACGGTCTTCAAGATCTTTAGTTCGTCGAGATCGCAAGCTTAGCGAAATATTAACCACGGCAAGTGGGATTTGAACGAGCCAAAACGTAAGGGGGTGGATGTGGAAAAAGACAAACTTTGACGAAAGACATTTCTTTCTTTCTTTCTTTCTTTGCGCCAGAAGATTGATTTGCAATTCATGAACTGACAATTTCTTAACTAAAAGTAAAATATAAATGGATTAGAAAACAAGAAACTTTAAATTGGGATAACAAATGCTTTGTCTCAGTAGCACTTTAAGGCATTTAATATTCTCCGTGAAATCAAATAATTGACTTGGAGTAATTCAGGCTTCATAGGCTTGTAGCCGGGCTTAAGACATGCGGTATATATATTGTAAATCGTTGAGAACATAGTTTCATTCTCGCGCATAACCGGGTATATAGAACACGAATTTCTATTAGGGAGCTACGGAGGGATGTCTTTTCCTCCAGAAACTCAGTTTCCAGTTGATTGAATCAAAAGGTCTGGTTCTAACAACTTCCCACGGCTAAACGCTGAATATCTTCTTTTTTTAATTTTGCAAAGGGTAAACAAGTTATCACTTAGCCGATTAATTTCCTGTGGTTGCTTATCCAGAATAAAAGAGCTTGATAACTAGCACCTGTTTAAGCCTGGTTCACACTGGTGGTGGAATAACGACCACATCACGCAAACACAATACAAATACTTCATGGAAAGTTTAAAATATGAAACATAGAACATAAGGACATATGGATAAACTGAAGAGTAAAAATATTATCTTTTCTATATTATGAGCCGTCATGTCCATTGTCCAGATCGGTATGTCGCTTGTGTGAATTAGGCCTAAGCAATCTTTTGCGCACTGAAGATTAAAAACAAAACTTATTCTCTACTGAAGTCAAGAGGGTTATTGATATATTTAAGTATAGTAGATAACGCTGTTAGACTGAAATCACATGGCTAACAAATTTTCCAGTTGTGCTTCAGGGTCGTTTCGAGTGATCGATGCGGACCTTTTTGATTTTGCATCAGTGTCGTCTTCCAGCTCCTCCTCCTGCTCTTCTACCTCCCTTTTCGAGTTACTTTCAGCTTCTTGCTTGTCAGGTGCAAATTCCGACGCGTCCTGCGCTTTTTCCGCCGCGGCTGGCTTGGGGTCAGGGCTGTCTCCGAGTTTTTTTACCTTCACTATAACGGGTACAGGCTTTTGGAAAAACAAAGAGAACCTCGTGAACAACGATTCCAAATAAAGTTAAATAACTTTGATGACCGGAACAATTAACTGAATAATCTCCATGTTGGTTTGAAAATGTTCACGGATTCTTTGCTCCGATAGCCTGCGAACAGGCTCCCGGTGAACCCGAACGAAGCGAGGGAGTCTCCCCTGGCCCCGCCCCGATCGCTTTGCTCTCCGAATTCTTCTGTTTCGCGCTCACCGAAATTTTTTTCCGTCCTCGCCGGGAGCCTGTTCGCAGGCTATTGCTCCGAGAAATAAACAGTTTTCCGAGAACGAAGCCCAGTTAATTTCGCAATCCGAGCGTCCTTATTGGTTCTTTCTTCAGTAAATATTGCTAAAATTAGGCCGTGATATAAAATTGCCTGTTCTGATTTTCAAGTTTTCAATGAGAATTTTGCTAATGAAAAACGCAAATTTTGAAAATTGGGGACCAATCTTGTGCAAGAAAAGAATATTTGGTTAATTTTAAGTATTGGATATTGAGGACAACATATGAATAACGATTTTAAAGTGAAGAATTTTGTAACGGTCCTTGTAGAACAATCGAGTGGGATTTTAGATCCTTTCTGGTGAATTTTTAACTTCTTCAGCTTCCATGTAAAATTGTAAAAAAAAAATACCCTTTTTCATCGTATTCGTCCCTGAGGGGAAAAATATATTGCATATGTGCCTTTATAAAAATAAATTGTTTATATGCTTTATATGCCTTTGAAAAGTGTTCTAGTCACGAATACTTACCCCTTCTTTTTCTTGTTCCAGTTCATTTGCCAACTCGACTTTTAGTTTCTTTTCTTCTTTAGCTGTTTCTTCCTCACTCAGCAAATTTTCGTTCCGTTCTTTCGTTACTTGCACTGTCACCTTCGGAACCTTTTCCACTTTTGTGACCACCTCCTGAGATGTTGCTGTTGTTGGTTTTTTCGTTGGTTTCACTTCTTCCTTGTCTTCATCATTCATTGTTTCTTGAGCTAATTCGGCCAGCTCCAGTTCTTCATCGGACATTACTTTTGTGACCTTCGCTTTCTCGGGTGCGGCTTCAACGTTCAGTTTTTCTAGTTGTTTGTCTGTTCCATCCCCTTTAGCTTCAGTTGTCGGCTTCGCTTTTCCCGTTGTAACTTCAGGTGGTTTAGATGTTTTGGGACCCTCTGCTGGCTCCACAGGTTGGTCTGTCTTTAAATTTTCTTTGCCATTCCTTTCTGCTTCAAGAGCTTTATCGAGTTCCTGCGCAAGCTTTTTTTCATCGATATTGTCTTGACCTCCTTCCAATTCCAACTCCAGCGCTTCCTCTTCACTGTCACTAGTCTTCTCAGAGGCATCATCTGATCGTTTGTAATTTACTGCATCCAGGCTAGTTTCTAAATCCAGATCTTCGTCTTCAGAAGTCACTTTCACTACCTTCTCCACCATGGACGTCTGGGTTTTTCCACTTGTTGGACGCTGTGAAGGTGTTATTTTCTCTACGCTGATGGAAACTTCCTCAACCTTACCTTGGCTTATTGGCACTTCTTTCGTTGTAGTTGGTTTAACAGTTGGTTTCGCTATCACTTCTACTTCTTCGACCTCTTCATCCGTTTCATCGGTTGCGGGAGAAACTTTTTTTACCTCCACGATAATTTCTTTCTGACCATCTTTGTCAAAGGAGGATTCTTTTGCAGAGGATGTCTCTGTTGATTCTTTTTCCACCGTTACTTCTATTTTTCCTTCTTTCAAGTCTTCATCTTCTTCAATCCGTTGAACTGAGCTTCTTTTTGTCTCGACGTTTAGCTCGGATGGGACACGTTCTACTTTTACTACAGCTTCACTCTGCGTTGACTTGGTTGGAGACTTAGGACTTGGCGTAATTTTCTCAACTGTGAATCCACTCTTTGCTGTCGTTTTTCCACTTTCCACTTTTTCTTCCCACTGCGATTCGGCATTTGCCACCTTTGAGACTTTGATCTTTTTAGGTTCCTCGGCAGTTTCTTCTTTTTCTTCCACTCCTTCAGTCACCTTCTGCACGGCAAAAACTCCCTCAGACTTTTTTTTGTCTTCTTCTTGCAAGTTTTCTTCTGCACCACCAGCCTTCTGTTCCTGTTCAACCTCAACTTTGACAACAAAGGATGTCTTCTTAGTGGAAGATGGTGTCGTACTAATTTTCGTATTGGTTGCCTGTTTCTTTGGTGTTAGTGTTGGTTCCGTGGATTCTGGTGTATGTGTTGGGGAGGTTTCCTTTTCCACAATGATGTGAACTTCTTCAGTTGTCTTGACAGTCGCAGCAGTCGTTTGAGCTTCTGTATCAGTTTTTCTTTCAACAGACGTCTTAGGGGAGGACGTAGGAGGGGTTCCTAGGTGGAATAAGTAAAACAAAGTCGTGTTTCTTAACACTTAACTCAGGAATGGTCTCTGCGAGCGAGTTAATACTAGTTTCTAGGGGAAAATATAAAAAAAAACCCATTTTGTCCTTGTTGATAAAGGGGTACAAAAAAAAAAAAAAAAACTGAGCCAACGTTTGGAAGTATTGGAGTTTTCACGTCATTTCTCATTCTCCCTAGGAAGACATGTACATGTTCAAAGTCTCCTCTTTTTACAATTTACGAAAATCGGCGTTTAAACAGAAAGAAAACAAAAATGGAAGAAGAAGAAGAAGAGAAGAGCATAGAAGAGCTGAAGACCTCACTGATCGCCAGG